TTCCCAGAGATGTTAGTGGTTCATTCTGCTGTGGCGTCCCCGGATTAATAAAGGGACTAAGCCGACAAGAAAATAAATGAATGAATTCCCACATTTTTAGATATGCACACATTTGCATTTGAGCTGGAAGGTGTGTAAAATAACAATTAAAATAAACATTTTAAGTCTATTTACCTAAATACACTCACCGGCCACTTTATTAGGTACACCTTATTAATTGCAGATTGGACCGCTTTTACCTTCAGAACTGTCTTAATTTCCTTGTGGCTTTGATTCAGTAAGCTACTGGAAATATTCCTCAGAGATTTTGCTCCATGATAGCATCACAGTTGCTGCAGATTTGTCGGCTGCACATCCATGATGCCAATCTCCCGTTCCACCACATCCCAAAGCTGCTCTATTGGATTGAGATCTGGTGACTGTGGAGGCCATTTGAGTACAGTGAACTCATCGTCATGTTCAAGAAACCAGTCTGAGATGATTGAGCTTTATGACATGCTGCGTTATCCTGCTGGAAGTAGCCATCAGAAGATGGAGACACTGTGCTCATTAGGGGATGGACATGGTCAGCAATACTCAGGTAGGCTGTGGCGTTGATGCTCAAATGGTAGTAATGCACCCAAAGTGTGCTAATAAAATGTCCCCCACACCGTTACACCACCAGCAGCCGGAACCGCTGATAAATTTTTCAATTCAATTCAATGTACTTATAAAGCACTTTAAAACAACACAGTTGACCAACGTGTTGACAACAAAGAGTAAAACAAACTTTAAAATGCAAATAAATAAACATAAAATCTCACGCTGTGCTGAAAGCCAAATTGAACAAGTGGGTTTTAAGAAGAGATTTAAAAACAGTAATGGAAGAGGCTTGTTTAATGAGCTGAGCTTTCGACTGGTCCTGGGCACACCCAAGAGGAGCTGGTCGGCTGACCTGAGCGAACGAGAAGGTGTGTAGGGACAGAGAAGCTCAGAGACGTAAAGGGGTGAAGCACCATTCAGACACTTAAAAACAAATAAAAGTTACTTAAAATGGATCCAGAAGTGCACGGGCAGCCAGAGAATATAAAATCGGGGTGATGTGCTCGTATTTGCGAGTGCCAGTTAAAAGACGTGCAGCTGCATTCTGAACCAGTTGCAGTCGAGAGATCGAAAACTGACTCACCCCAAAATAAAAAGCATTACAGTAGTCCAAGCGGGAGGTTATAAAAGCAGGGATTACTGTTTTGAAAGTGCTTGTGCGTAAAACATGCTTAATTTTGGCCAGTTGTGGCCAAATAGGCAGGATGGATCCATGCTTTCATGGTGTTGACACCAAATTCTGCCCCGAGCATCCGAATGTGTCAGCAGAAATGGAGACTCATCAGAGCAGCAACGTTTCTCCAATCTTCTATTGTCCAGTTTTGGTGAGTCTGTGTGAATTGTAGCCTCAGTTTCCTGTTCTTAGCTGACAGGAGCGGCACCCGGTGTGCTCTTCTGCTGCTGTAGCCCATCCGCCTCAAGGTTGGACGTGTTGTGTGTTCAGAGATGCTCTTCTGCAGAGCTCGGGTGTAACGAGTGCTAATTTGAGTGCTAATTTGGGTGTAACGAGTGCTAATTTGAGTGCTTATTTGGGTGTAACGAGTGCTAATTTGTTGCCTTTCTATCAGCTGGAACCAGTCTGGCCATTCTCCTCTGACATCATCAACAAGGCATTTGTGCCCACAGAACTGCCGCTCACTGGATATTTCCTCTTTGTCAGAGCATTCTCTGTAAACCCAAGAGATGGTTGTGCGTGAAAATCCCAGTAGATCAGCAGTTTCTGAAATACTCAGAGCAGCCTGTCTGGCAGCAACAACCATGCCATTTTCAAAGTCACTTAAATTCCCTTTCTTCCCCATTCTGATGCTCGCTTTGAACTGCAGCAGATCGTCTTGACCATGTCTACAAGCCTAAATGGATTGAGTTGCTGCCATGTGATTGGCTGATGTGCGTTATCGAGTAGTTGGACAGGTGTACCTAATAAAGTGGCCGGTGAGTGTAGATTAACATTTAAACCAATTAAGTAATCTCTGTTTAATACTTTCAAAAGAAATTAACAAAAAGAATTGACTGTGTATCTTAGAAATAAAATAAAACGAAAAATAACAACTGAATAGCATTAAACCGATGATGTAAACCCAAAACTAATTTACAAGGAAAATATTAAACATATTAACTAACACCAAAGTATTACTCATTCAATAATTTTCCAGCTTAGTCCTATTATTTATCAGGGGTCGCCACAGCGGAATGAACCGCCAACTTTTCCAGCAAATATTTCACGCAGCGGATGCCCTTCCAGCAGCAACCCAGTACTAGGAAACACCCACACACTCATTTACACACACTCATACATTACAGCCAGTTTAGTTCATCAATTCCCCTATAGCGCATGTGTTTGGACTGTGGGGGAAACCGCAGCACCCTGAGGAAAGCCACGCCAACACAGGGAGAACATGCAAACTCCACACATGTATCAAAAACACAACACATTTATAATAAATAAATTGCTTAAGTAGACTTTAGAGAGTGCTGTAACCGCGCACAAAAATGACAAAACATTTTTATATGAATAAACAAAAATATATAAGTAGAATTAAGTAATAATTGTGAAATAAGAAGTTAATTAATAACAAGTTACGCTTGTTGCAAGTGCATCGCTCCCATCTCGCGATAGTTGGCGCGAGATCTGCGCTCTGATGTTTCCGGTAACCTGCGGAGAGTAGCTGGGCCGAAATTCATCGCACCCTCATCATCCTCCGGCTTCTCTACCGGGACTTTCCGTTCACCGGGACCCGCTGTATTCGACACTTACTCCGGGAGCTCGTTACCCGATAGAGACCGTGAGCGCTGACAGAGCCGTTAAAACTCCGCGCACACACATAGACGGATGCTAACAAGCTAACAGCATCCTCTCGTGCGCCGGAGAAATCTGAAATAATCTCTGCGTTTAATACTTAAACATCATTTATGGTCGTTTTATAAAGTTAATATGGTTTTTGATCGCTGTAAAAGTACACAAGTGGTGTTTTGCGCGTTGTAACAGAAGCTCAGGTTGTTTACAGGTGATTTTACAGATAAGTTATATCCATCTAATCACATTAAAGTCAATATATTAGTGAATTATATTGATATTAACTATATGGATCGATTACAATAGACTTTTCAGCTCTTTTTATGTGACTTTATATCCATAAAATCACAAAGCCAATATCAGATAGTTATAATAGTAATATAAAGTATCTGACTCAAACAAAATAGTCTGCTATTAGTGTTTCATATGTGATATTATATCCATATAATCACATTAAAGCCCAAATAAAAGTGAACTACATTATGATAAAGTATCTGGATCAATCACAATAGACATTTCTGCTGTTAGTGTTTCACATTTGATTTTATATCCATATAATCACATTAAAGTCCATATAGAAGTGAGATAATATTAAGTATCTGGATAAATCACAATAGATATCTCTGCTATTAGTGTTTCATATGTGAAATTACATCCATATAACCACATCAAACTCAATATAAAATTATAATTGTTTCTGACTACATCAAGATTAGACATTTCTGCTTTTAGTGTTTCTTTTATATCCATATAATCACATTAAAGTCATTATCAGAGGGAATAATGTTAATATAAAGTATCTGGCTCCATCAGAATAGACATTTCTGCTATTAACCTTTCAAATGTGATTATTATATCAATATAGTCACATAAAAGTCAATATAAAAGTGAATTATTTTAATGTAAAGTATCTGGATTGTTCAGAATAGACATTTCTGCTATTAGTCTTTTACATGTCGTTGGTCCTAATAATGAGCAGATCTGGAAAGTGAATAGATTATGGAGTTTTGGACTTTTTCATGAATCAGACTGATCTAAACTCTCGATCAGCTCGATGACCGGCTGTAAACTAGAGTCTCTGTTGAGTACAGCTCAGTCTGAGCTTATCTGTTAAGATTAAAACATCAGCCATGGCTCCCAAAAAGAGGCCAGATCCTATAGTTATAACTGGAAGCGGAGAAGCACAGACGACCTCCACGCCCATAGATGCTGCATCAGAGTGAGTTATGCATCTTTACGATATTGGAGAATTATGATGCTGGGATATTTAGTTTTTCTGCAATATTTATTGTGATAGCTTGATCAGCTCTGTTTGGAAATAATTCATATATTTAGACTGATTTGGGATTATTCTGGGTTTGAATCATGCTTAAACCTAATAAACAATTTAAAAGGATAGATATAGTAGTCAACGTTTGAAGCGTATCAAAGTTGTCCTAATGGCTGTTGTTTAATTGTTTTATGAAAACGTGCCATTATAAATTGATAAAACGTTGACTACTGGTTATCTCACTCTTCATTCTCTTTCACAGTTCACCGGCTGTAGTGTTTCTTAATTTTCTAGAGATATTTAATCAGGTTTACTTCAGGACTCTGGTCTGTCCATTTCATTATTTCAATGTTTTCAGCTTCAAGAAACTATTTTATGTCTGAATGATGAAAAAAGTTAAGTCAATTTAAGGGGTTAGTTTATCCATAAACAAAACGGAACTTAAGTTATTTATAACAAAATAATTACAAATGAATTTGACTGGATGAACACAGTAAGTGATCCATGTATATAAGGGTACATACAGTAGTCAACATTTGAAGTGGATCAATATTGTCCTCAGACAATAATGACTGTTGTTCAACTGTTTAAGACCGGGGTCTTAAACTCGCGGCCCTCAGTGCAATATTTTGTGGCCCGCACCGACCGCTGTACTCTGACAGAATCAGCGGAGCAGGGAGCGCTGATTCTATCCGTACACAGCGCGCTTGTCACTCAATGCGCGTTCTGATCAGCTGTGTTGTCGTGCGCATACTGAAGGGCGGGACCGAGGGTGTGTCGCGTCGCGGGGGCACTTTTGTTCATTTTGGAAGGGCACTTGAGCCCTATGTGTGCACGTGCCTGCCCTGCATCTTATATATATTATCAGCCTGATCTCACGAGAAAACGTAAGTATTTTACGTTTTGCCAGTTTAGTGGCTAATTCGTACGAATTCGTACGAGTTCAGTCGTACGAAATGGTACGATTTTTAAAAGGAGGAGTGGCACCTGACCCCACCCCTAACGCCAACCGTCATTGGGGGATAAGCAAATCGTACTAAATTGTACGAATTAGATCGTACGAATTCATACGAATTAGCCACTAAATGAAAAAGTTACGAATTGCCGTGAGATTGTGTTGATATTATAGGTAGATACAGACTGGTACAGACTGATGTGACTGGAGTGGGGTGGGGGTGTTTTATTTATACATATATACGCCTTTTTTTAGGTGAGGGAATGGAAGTTTTGAGTGAGTTCCCCCACTTTTTTTTCCTAGGACTTCAATAAGTCAAAGTACAGGTCTAGACTTAATGATGATCATCTTCAAGCCATACTGAGGGTCTCAACTGCTTCCGCTCTAAAGCCAAATGTGGTTCAGATTTGTGAGAAGAAGCGCTGTCAAGTGTCTGGCAGCAAGAAGTAGGCAAAAGATGCCATGTTCAGAAGAACTGTTCATAATCTTCACTCAATGTTCTATTAATGTTCAGGACACTTCATGTTCAGAAGAAATAATTAAAACTGTTAATAATGACATTTAAGGACTTTTTTTTGTGGAATCCCTTATGCGGCCCAGCCTCACCCAGACTTTGCCTCCTGAATTGAGTTTGAGACCCCTGGTTTAAGAAAAAACTTGCCATGATTAAACTAATTTAAATTGTGATGATCCACTTCTAATGTTGACTACTGGTTATCTCACTCTTCATTCTCTTTCACTGTTCACCGGCTGTAGTGTTTCTTAATTTTCCAGAGATATTTAATCAGGTTTACATCAGGACTCTGGTCTGTCCATTTCATTATTTCAGTGTTTTCTGCTTCAAGAAATTATTGTATGTCCGAATGATAAAAAAAAAAAAAAAGAGTAAAAATTCAATTTAAGGGGTTAGTTTTATCCAAAAATGAAACGGAAATTAGGTTTTTAATTACAAAATAGTTAGAAATGAATTTGACTGGATGAACACAGCAAGTGATTCGTTTGCATTATGGTTCACACAGTAGTAAACTTTTGAAGTGGATCAAAATTGTTTTTGAAAATTGTCCTCCGATAATAATGGATGTTGTTCAATTGTTTTATGAAAACTTGCCATGGTAAATTGATGAAACTGAAAAACTGCTAAATTGTGATGATCCACTTCTAATGTTGACTACTGGTTATCTCACTCTTCTTCTTTCTCTTTCACGGTTCACCGGTTGTAGTGTTTCTTTTATTTTCTAGAGATATTTAATAAGGTTTACTTCAGGACTCTGGTCTGTCCTTTTCATTATTTCAATGTTTTCAGCGTCAAGAAATTATTTTATGTCCGAATGATAAAAAAAATAAAGTAAAAAGTCAATTTAAGGGGTTAATTTATCCAACAATGAAACAGAAATTAGGTTTTTAATTACAAATTAGTTAAAAAATAAATTTGACTGGTGATAAACTTTGATTCTGTTATGGTTAAAATCCATAAATCTCATGTATTTGGAATTACAGCAGAGAAAACTTAGTATTAACTTAATATTAACTTAGTAACTTAGGAAAAAAGTATTGAACACATTGTTGTGTTTTTTTTTTCGTGGGAATATTATTTCTAAACGAGTTGTTGACATGAAATTAAAGCGGATTTTGGTAAAAACCAAAACAATACCAACATAAAAACAAAAAAGAAATGTGTAATAACAATGGAGTGACACAAGGAGAAAGCACTAAACTAGGGAAACATATTTAATACTTTATATGAAGGCTTTTTTGGTGCGACAGTGTAAAAACGCTCTCATATGAAGTCACATGCATTGCTTAGGTGTCAAAATCTTGATGGTTTTGTGGGTCCTGTCTATAAAATCTGAGCTTTATTCTGCAGTTTCTACTGGATTCGGATCAGGTGATTGGCTGGGCCATTCTACAGCTTGATTTTCTTTCTCTGAAAGCATTTGAGTCTCTTGGCTGAAAATGTCCACCCTGGTTTCCTCTTCATCCTCCTGCTAATGTAGAATTAGGAATAGAGCAGCTGATATGCATTTACACCGAGAAGATTTCAGCTGCTGTCTGGGCTTTCACTGCCCAACTACACCTCCCTTCATGTGTTCAATACTTTTTTCCTGTGTCATTTATTTTATTACTCATAACTTCATTTGTAAACTAATTAGATTTGTTTTCTTTGCATATATTGATTTCTTGGGTTTTTATCAACATCAAGTGAAAATTTCAAGTCATTAGATAAGCTTCCACCCACCTATATTTAAGTGCATTTTGGATATGCGCATAAAAACGTTGATGGAAACGCCAAGATAAAAAAATGTAAAAATGCATGCGCTTAACTAAGAAGGATAAACTATTTATTGGATAAGTCTACGATGGAAACACTTTTACCAAACAAATTCCAGTATGCACATTAAAAAAGTCATGTGATTGTTGTATTTTTTTTTTGTAATTTTATTTATGAAAACGTGTGTGAATGGACAAACCAGCAGGCTGAGTACACTGTAAAATATCTGAAATGTTGTATTGGTCATTCTAAAACACCGAAACCATTTTAGTATTAGTGTTATTATATTATTTATGACCTCCAGAACTGTCAAGAGCCTCTGTGGTCCTTATCTTCAAACACCACCACACGTTCATTGTGTGTTGGCATTGTCTTCTGAGTAGGGATGGCTGACGTGAAACTGACGTTTCGACACAGGGTCGAGATCCCGAAGCGCAAGTGTTTCGAAACACTGCACCGAAGCATGATTCGAAACACCTGATTTCTGTTTCGTATGGCCTAGCGGACCGTGCGTGTGCACGTTGATACTGTTTCAAATTAATTTTGGGTTCGAATCCTGACTAGCACAAATACTCCAAAATCATGATTTTATGTATTTTAATCATGTTTCTGTTTTATGGTGTAGTCTAGATAGGATACACCATCAATTTAGCATCATTTTTGTAACACTGTAAAACAATAATTATTATTTTTACAATACTGTAATGGGTTATTTTTTGGATAGACGTTAATAAAATACAATGGGAAATTTAATTAATAATATAAATAATTATTGTTAACTTCTGGCCACAACTGTATCAGATCTAGCAACAACCCTGTTTTATGACCAAAACAATACACATTTATTTACAAGGTGTTTATTCCAATGTCAGAGCAATGTTGAAACAAAACGATACAAGAACAAAGCATTACCAACTGATAGTAAAGCATTTCAAAATAATTGTTTTAACCTGGATTCGAACCCATTATCCCCGCATGGTGGTCACGAACTTCAACTGCTCGACTAAACCACTTGTAGGTACAAGGCTACAAAGTGGGGTTTCATACCTCAATATGCTCGACTGTTCTTTACTGAAACTGTTTCAGTGCCATACAAATGAAATGACCACTAGGTGTCACCGTAGAGTGGGGTTTCGAAACGTTTCGAAGCTTCGACACATTTGCTTCGACTGTTTCAGTGTTTCGCAAAGCCTCGCTTTGCCCACCACTACTTCTGAGGTGCAAGTCATTTATTAAATAAGGAAAAGATTCACGCAGCTTCTCCTACTGCTGCAAATTCCATTTTTACTGTTGATATTTGGCCAGTTAATCAGGAAGTTCTCCTTGACTCACTTGATGGAAACGCTGCTGTATTTGCATGGCTGCGTCCGAAACTACATACTTCCATACTATATAGTATGCCAAAATCAGTATGCGAGCCGAGTAGTGTGTCCGAATTCATAGAATTCGAAAATCAGTATGCGAGAAGTACCCGGATGACTTACTACTTCCGGCGAAATTCCGGAGTGCGCATCCCATGCATGCTGCGCTATCCCATGATGCCCCGGGAGCGAATTCATGAATGGAAGTAAAGTGACGCAACTGACGCAGGTAGGTCACGTGACCATGACAAAATGGCAGATGTAGTACGTCCGAATTCCATTCATACTTTTCACATTCATACTGTATAGAATGAACTTTTCTAACGGCCGAGTTGTACGTTTAAATTCAAATGCAGTACCTACTGAGTAGTAGGCGGTTTCGGACGCAGCCCATGTCTTTTATGCGATATTCCTGTTTTGCGCATACATTTAATTAGCATCTTTTGGATGGAAACTTTGCTCATGGCACCTTTAGAAGTGTTTTCTGAGAAAAACGCTGACGTGTTCAATACTTATTTCCTCCACTCTGTCTTTTGCTCAAATATAATAGAAACGTATAAACTCAACTATCGATACTGAAACGATATATTGTGCAGCCCTAATCTCTAAATCAATGAGCTTTTCTGTAATAAATGTTGCATGTCATTTTAATGTGTTTTTCTCGCGAACGCCAGAGCGAATCTTGAAGCCCTGCAGAAGAAGCTGGATGAGCTGGATTTGGACGAGCAGCAGAAGAAGCGTCTGGAAGCTTTCCTCACGCAGAAAGCCAATCTGGGAGAGCTGAAGGACGATGATTTCCAGCATATCTGTGAACTGGGAGCTGGAAACGGAGGAGTGGTGAATAAAGTGTGCCACAAACCTTCAGGTCTCGTCATGGCCCGGAAGGTGAGATGCCTGTGCATAAATGCAATATCAGACTGCACCCGTGAGAACAGCACAGTTATACCGTTAACAGATTCATTCATGTCCAGCAGTGTGTGCAGGGCCGGTGAGCGCTCCGTGCTTTAGTCACTCAGTTCTGTTATAAAAATCTATTTTCCTGTGATAACGGGATTTCGTTGAGACATATTTTCCTCACGCTTACATATATATTTTTTTGCTTGTTAGTTTGATTAGTGTTGATTTCAAATGCAATAAATGTGTTTGTATAAAACTTGTAGTAAAGGTGCTCATAATTGGTGGGTGCGACTCAATTTTGGCTGATGCGCCTACATAGGAGCACCGGTGCTACCAAGCAAAAAGGTTAACTTCGAGCCCTGCGTGTCATAAAAATTTCTAATTTTAATCTTTTTTTTTTGTATCATGTAAGGTTGATGTTCTTTTTTTGTACTAAACCTTTTTTATTATATAAACATGTTGTTTATGAAAGTGTTGATAAGTTTTTGCCATGAAGTAGCCAGGGCAGCTAATATGTCGACACTTAACTGAAAATGTCTCTCTGTCTGCTTACCTGTCTGCTGTTTGCTGTAGTTAATTCACCTGGAGATCAAGCCGGCCATCAGGCATCAGATCATCAGAGAGCTGCAGGTCTTGCATGAGTGTAATTCACCATACATCGTGGGTTTTTACGGCGCATTTTACAGCGATGGCGAGATTAGTATCTGTATGGAGAACATGGTACGTTTACAGTCTTTTTTTATTATTAGTATGTTATAGGGATGCACAATATTGAAAAATAGTTCTCATGAACATCATCTTCAAATAAAGTGCTACATATTTTTATTAATTACTAGGTTTTCTATGACTCATCCGTCTAATAATCCCTGCATTAGCTGAAAATTGAATGAAAAGCCAATTTAAGTCATTTTGTATATTCTGTGGGTCTAAAAGGTTTGTTTGTGGTTATTGAGTTTAATCTATCACTGTTTCCTGTCGGCAGGACGGCGGATCGTTGGATCAGGTCCTGAAAGAGGCTCGCAGAATCCCAGAGGAGATTTTGGGAAAAGTCAGCATAGCTGTAAGTGTCTTTACTCCGATAATATAAAGAACTATAAAAGTCTGCAGAGTCTTAAAGGGTCACGAAACACCAAAGCACATGTGTTGAGCTGTTGACAGTGGTATATGTGTCCCACACTGCTAAAAACACTATCAGGACACCTATATTTCACTAAAAAGTGTAAATTGGTTGTTTTTGCGTTATTTCAAGTAAATTCGTACTTCCGGTTTGAAACTAATTTTTGAAGCTGCGTCACGGTCATGACATAATGGCGTGTATTCCAGCGTGCAGACTGGACGCCTGTACCAGAGTGTGTCTTATTACGTCTTACAGTGTGATGCATTAATGCATGAGTAACGCTTGGTTCAAACCAATCAGCGCGCTCTATTGTGCAACTTCATTAATATTCATTACTGTCACAGTGTTTAGACGACAGAGACGCCACGTTGTGTTGGCAAAACAAGCGTGAAGTGTTGCTTTTATAGTTTGCTGCAGTGAAGTTTTGTTTTCATTTTCTCTCTGTGAGAGCTCAGCTGGACTCACGTGTGGATTAACAGTGTACGCGACGCTCGACAACAATAACTTACGTGTCTAAGGAGGATTATTGTTTACCTGAGAGCTGTTCTCATCTGCAAACGCTGAGATCCGGATTCGCTTGTAGTCTCCTCTTAATAAAGACGCGGCTCTAGTTGCTGGTGATTGTCCTGTCTCTACAGATTTGGTAAGTGAGTGACCAGTGCTCTTTGTTTATTCAGTTTGTTCGTATCGAACTAAGTTAACTATTGCACCGAGTGTAAACATGTGAGCACCGCAACCAAACTTTAACCTCGTGTAGGGTTTTCACCGCATTTAGTGACCGGAATAACACACGCGGCTTTCTGACGCTACCTGCCGTGTGCATCTAAGTTTCTGGGAAATGTTTTCTCTCATTCGCCGTGCGGTATCAAACATTACATGAAAAATACACGCTTACAGCAGTTCCTCGAATCAAATATCTCGTTTGTCGGGAGGGACATGAATGAATTCCCTGAATGAAAGAGCCAAACTGCAGTTAAAGTCCACCATTTAATAATTTGGCAAATAATTCGAATACAGATGTCCATGTAGGTTAAACACCATCACTTTCTCCTGTGTGTGTATTTTGACTCTGAAACTCGCGCGCGCCCAAATAGACACTCCCACACCCTCCCACTTTAGTTCCTCCGACACTCCCCCCTAAACAGAGCTGGACACGCCCACTTTTCTGACTTTTTCCAAAGTAGAGGTGTGAAAACACCCTGCTGAAACGAGGGGCTTTCATGGCCCTTTAAGATATATTAAAAGTTGTTAAATCAATGTAGAGCAAAGCAAGGCCTTTAAAAAGTGCTACAAGGTATGTTATGGTACAGTACGGTTCGGTATGCTTTTAAGGCTGTTTCCACTGTCAAAAAGTACCAATTAGCAAATCGTACTGTCCCACTTTTTGGGCACCCTTTTGAAAGGGTACCAAACAAGAGAAAGGGTAGCAAAAGGGGGAGCAAGACACACAGCTGAACGCTATTGCTATTCATAGATGCACATGTACTTTAAACAAAGCAGTGTCATTCATTTGAATACAATAAGTACACTAGGTTTTATTTTACTGTAACAACAGCTTAAATAGTGTTTAATAATTATTTGTAATTTAAGCTGTATGAAGTTTAGCTAGCGGTCCACAGCAGGACTGAGATCTAATTGCTCTAATGAAGGCTTTGTTTTGGTCTATTGAAAAATCTGTTATAGTTTCTCAAAATAGCAACGCACCAGCAATGCGCCTCAACACGCCTCCCTTTTTAGACCAGAACGCCTATGGGCGCACATATGAGCGCAAATGCATTTGCTATTTAAACAGCGTGGCGCAAAACATTAAAACAACTCTTGCGCCAAGCTGAAACTAGCAAACAATACTTGCGTTGCGCCACATTGCGCCGGGTGTATGATAGGGCCCTACGTCTGTAAAATAAACGATTAAAAGTGCTGATGATTGTGATAGTAAGTGTTGCATTGTCGTCTTTCAGGTTGTATCTCAGCTTTAATGCACATTTTTAAATACATAACTAAACAAAGCAGCTGCTTGCCGTCGCGACAGCAATAAGATCCAACGGGGCTGTTTCTGGGCGCTGCTGTTGCAATGGAACGATCTGTTGAGTGTTGAATTTTATTCCGTACTTGAATAATGTTTTAGTTTAGGATTAGTTTCTTATACTGGAATTTAAAATGGGGCCAATGTTACCGGATGAAACCTAAAGAGGCGACGGGGACTTAAAATATATGGAAAGAGTCTTCAAAAAAGGTCTTAAAAGGTATTGAATGCCACTCTCTGATGCCCGTATAGACCCTGTACAACGAACAGTGATGGTAACAGAAGCTCATGAAAATAGTTGAAGAAAACATCCATTTAAATAATGAATTATCCAGCTGATGTTGTTTATATTTATGTATCCTGTTTGCTGAACCAATACTAATGCAATATGATGATGATAATAATACAGGTGTTAAATCATAATCACAAAGTACCAATAATTTGGAGTTGATCTGCAAAGTATTGTGGCATCTCTAATGTTTCTTCATAAGTCAAATAAGCTCTATTTGAAGGAGATATGCAAGTAGTTCCTCTCAAAGTTGCATTATTGTGTTCTATGAGAGAGTAAAGGACATGCTTAACATTAGTTTTGCTGCTGTTCCCCCGCATTATGTATGTAAATGAGAAGTATTTGTTATGGGGAAAGTGAGCAGTCTGAATGTTTGGAACCGGTTTGGATCAACAAGCGGATGTTTATTTATTTCAATTCTTTTTGGTTTTGTCCCACAGGTTTTAAGAGGTCTTGCTTACCTTCGAGAAAAGCACCAGATTATTCACAGAGGTAAATAAATGCATATTACAGTGCATAAGTTTGTAATTAGATTTATTTTATCGGTTTCAAATAAAATGCACCACCATTCAAAAGAAAGAAATCAGCAAGGATGCTTTACATTGTTTAAAAGTGACAGTAAAGACACTTAAAATGTTATAAAAGATTGTATTTCAATTAAGTGCAGCTCTTTCTGATCTTCCCATTCATCAGAGAATCGTGAAATGTGTTACATTTTCCTCCGAAGTAGTGTAGAATCTCTTAAAGAGTCAGTGTGAAATGAATCTGGATGAGTAATAATAATAAAGACACTGCTGTCCTGTTGTTCTCAGATGTGAAACCCTCAAATATTCTGGTAAACTGTCGCGGGGAGATCAAGCTGTGTGACTTCGGTGTGAGCGGGCAGCTGATCGACTCCATGGCCAACTCTTTTGTAGGAACACGCTCATACATGTCGGTACGTGCATCATAACTCATTTATTCATTTTCCTTCAGCTTAGTCCCTTTATTCATCAGGGGGTCGCCACAGCGGAATGAACCACCAACTATTCCAGCATATGTTTTATGCTGCGGATGCCCATCCAGCTGCACCCCAATACTGGGAAACACCCATACACACTCATTCACACACACACACACACACTCATACACTACAGACAATTTTAGTTCATCAATTCCCCTATAGCGCATTTGTTTGGACTGTGGAGTACACAGGAGCACCCGGAGGAACACGGGGAGAACATGCAAACTCCACACAAAAATGCCAACTGATCCAGCTGGGACTCGAACCAGCAACCTTCTTGTTGTGAGGTGAAATTGCTAACCACTGAGCCAGTAGAGACTTGTTCCCTGTTGCATTTGCGTATTGCTGACAGACACTGACGTCTTTATTCTGGTCCACTTTTGTAGCGTTTTTATACAATTTTTGTGAAGTTGAAGGCTTCATCTTCTTTCGCTAATTCAATGAGCAAACTCGGAGCTCTTCACCGGCACAACTCTTATCCCAGGGGACGCTGAACTCGCGCAGCATCCTGAATGTCCTGTAACTGTTATTTCGCACTTTGTAAAGAAACTGGTCTGGCGGATATCGCATTTTGTGAAAAAATACATTTTGTACTCGGCCTAAAATGTACATTCTTAAATGTTATTAATGGCAGCAATTAACACATAGATTAAGGTACATCTGAACAGTGATTTCCAATAATAAAATCTAAATGTCAAAAAATGGTGTTTATTGTGTTTTGCAACCAACTCTTCATATATATATATATATATATATATATATATATATATATATATATATATATATATATACACAGGGCTTTACATTAACACCCGCCAAATACGGGTAGATTTCAGCGGTGGCGGGTAAGACAGACACTCCCACTAGCCACTTTGGCTGGTTGAAAATAATTTTCCCAGATAATAATTCTTAAAAGCAGGGTTCGACAATAATGATGGTCCAATATGCATGCACAGGCGATCGAGAAGCAACACGACTGACAAAAAAATTGCGTTCACAACTTCACGCGAGCAAAGCAGGTGAATATCGAATGAGAGGATAATCACTCGCGCTAACAGCTGAGGTGATGCGCGACTGTTTATAACGCGTGCACGCTCCCGTTTCCTTTTGTGAAGCAACTGAGTCTAGAAATACAACTGATGCGATCGGTTCTCTTTCAAATAGACTGAACAAAAAGGGAGGAACGTGCACCCACAGTCCTGCAGCTTTCCAGAGTTCCAGAGTTGACTTATTGTAAGCAGCGCCAGTTGCTTTCGGTTTAACCATTCTTTGAAAAGATCATTTATGGGTCTATCATTAACCAAGTGTGTGTGTGATCATCCTTTTATTATCACACAGTATGTTTTTAACCTGCTTTCTTTTGCATTAATATGGTTTAATTATCTTTTTTTTTACTATAACATTGCTTTAATGGGAGAATAACTCCCCATTTATGTGTAGTTAACTGGTGATCTGGGACCTTTAGCCAGGACACATGACTGTGCATATGTTTTGTTAAATAAAAAGTTTAGTATTCAGCTATATTTATCATGTTTTCACACATTTAAAATGTGTGGCTAAGAAATAATTAACTTTATTTATGGTGTGGTCAGAGATAAATTGGGTAAATCCTTAATTTTGGGCTCTGAAAATTATGAAAACTAATTGTAATATATGAAACCCTGAGCCATCTGCTCATGATTATTGAGCAAGCACAAAAAAGTGAAATGAATGAGGAGGCATGTAGAGATAACACAAACTCTAAATCAAGTAATTTTAGCATGTCAAAGTCATATTTATGTGTATAAAATATATTTTCCCAACAATAAAATTGTGGCTAGTGAAAATGGTGAGTGGCTAGTAATGTTTTAAAACTATATATATATATATTAGGGATGTAACGGTATCAGAATTTCACGGTACGGTAATACCTCGGTATGAATGTCACGGTACGGTATTTATTGAATCATTTACAGGAAAAAACAAAACTTATGAAAATACTCCAAAAAAGTGCCAAAAGTGTCAATGACATACAAATTAGCCATCTATCTGTAAGCTTTGAAACAGGAACTTCAATTTTAATAACAAAAAAATATTAAACCATGTAAAAAAAATTAAGTTTCAATTTAGTATTGTTGAAAACTCACCACATTCAACATTTAATCACTCACTCACTTAGATAGAGATGGGTTTAAAGGAAAATTATCGTATAAATATAATCTGGTAAAAGCTGGTATCTCTGGGCATTTACAATGTCCCCTGCAACAGAAAAAACCCCTCTCATTTGGGACTGAGGTTTCTGGGACAGAGAGATATGACTTGGCCCAGGTTGACAGCAGTGGGTAACGTTGTGCATTGTCTTTCCCCCAATTGAGAAGACAAACCATGAGTGAGATAGAGATCTCATGTCTGCATCAATCTGAACAGTGTGCTGACAACACCACTATTCAGTACGCGCGCGGCGACAACACCCGCTTTAGAGTTTTTCAGCTCTTTTTCATCCCCGCTTCTAGCAGCACACTCCATTTCCGCATTACTGGATCTGTAGCGACAACAGACCGCAAGGGATGATGGTCAAGCATGGGCTGATGGGAATTGTAGTTTTCGCTACCTCCCGTTCGCTTCATTCGCCTGAGCAAATTTTCTCAGAAGACCTATAGTTTTACTGAGTCATGCGACTACGGTAATATCGAAAAAAATTAATATTGCGGTATGACGGTATTTACAATACCGTTACATCCCTAATATATATATATATATATATATATATATATATATATATATATATATATATATATATATATATATATATATATATATACACACACACACACACACGCAGTTGATGTCAGAATTATTAGCCCCCCTTTGAATTTTTTTCTCTTTTTTTAAATATTTCCTAAATGATGTTTAACAGATTCAGGAAATTTTCACAGTGTGTCTGATAATATGTTTTCTTCTGGAGAAAGTCTTATTTGTTGTATTTCGACTAGAATAAAAGCAGTTTAAAAATTTTTAAACACCATTTTAAGGTCAATTTTTAGCCCCTTTAGGCTAATTTTATTTTCGATAGTCTACAGAACAAACCATCATTATACAATAACTTGCCTAATTACCCTAACCTGCCTAGTTAACCTAATTAACCTAGTGAAGCCTTTAAATGTCACTTTAAGCTGTATAGAAGTGTCTTGAAGAATATCTAGTCTAATATTATTTACTGTCATCATGACAAAGAAAAAATAAATTAGTTATTAGAGATGAGTTATTAAAACTATTATGATTAGAAACAGGAAAGGGGAAAAAATAAACAGGCTGGCTAATAATTCTGACTTTAACTGTTTATGCAGTCTTGCCCAAAATTATTCACTGTATATGCATGTGTATATATGTTTGTGTATGTATATATTTAGGTATCTAAACAGTTGCATGTGTGTGTGTCCAGCCGGAGCGGTTGCAGGGCACTCATTACTCGGTTCAGTCAGACGTGTGGAGTATGGGTCTCTCTCTGGTGGAGCTCGCCATCGGCCGATACCCTATTCCTCCACCTGACGCCAAGGAGCTGGAGGGCATCTTCGGCAGGGCACTGATGGATGTTGGAGATTCAGAAACACACAGCACGTCTCCTCGACCCAGACCACCTGGCAGACCCATCAGCGGTGAGAAGCATGCTTTATAGATGGCAGAACATCGTTTCAGGGCTTTGAGGACGTTTATTTAAAGGCAATCCATTATGTACAAACACTTTGATTGACATTCTCCCTTTGTACGTGTCATCAGAGATGGAAAGCACCGCCCACTAGTGCCCATCATCTCTCCCTCTTTAACATAAACAGCAGCCCTGAGTGAGAAGCAGCCGTCTGTACATTAGCCCTTAGAGTGTTTGAGCTGCTGAAGAATAATGTCAGCATAGACTAAGAGGATTATAGATGTGGAGTTTTAGATGAACAGCGACAGGAGACTGACCGAAGCATCAAGCACACACATGCACACCTGACCAGCACTGACAACACTCTTTTACATCTGACACTAAGCTGATGCACAGGCATTTGTAGCTCCGCCCTCTTCTGAAAAGAGCACAGTTTCATTTGAATTTAAAGTCACAGTCACCAATAGGGATGCAACGATTATTTATTTTGGTTATAGTCTGAGGAATAATCACGGTTTCCTGGTTATTATTCATTAATTAATTTTAAAATGCTACTAGTTTATAGAGGTGTTAACCTATACTGGTCTCACGGTTCGGTTACGATTATCATGCCTTCGATTCGGTTCAATTCGATATTTCGGTGCATCACGGTGCATCGACGATGCTTTCCATATACAGTGTTATATTTTAGAGGAGAGGCTATAACAAGCTGTCTGTATAAACACACAGAGACACAGCACCACACTGTTTCTCGTTCAAACACAAACATAGACAGCACCAAAGAAACAAACATACACATACGCGAACACACACACACACGCTCTTAAGCACTCGCAACAGGTAGAGCTCGCGAAGAGCAGAGCAAAAAAACGAAAAAAATAAGCACTTTTCCGACGGTCCCTTGCTGAGAGCTCCTTTCAGCGCGAGCTCTGCCGGCTAAACACATATTGCGAGGGCTTAAACGGAGCAGTGCTCGTAGTGTGGAGCGAAAAAAAAGAAAGACAGCTGTGAAACATAACCAGCTTTGTCTTTTTGTAGGAAACACACTTAAGATCTTTTTAGGGTAAGAGGTTTTTGAGTTATTGCCGTCTGTAACTGAATGTGTGTCTAGAATATCGAAAACAAAACCAACTGAACCGCGCTCCTTTCTGGCGCCCTCCTGGATATACAGCACCCTTAGCATTTGCCCATGGCGCCTATGCCATGGACCGGCCCTGAGTTGGCTGAGTGTTGTAAATACTCGCGCTCACCTCCCTCGCGACAGACAGCATAGGAGATAAATGACGTCAGTACATAATAACCGGATATGATTATTACCGAATTGTCCGCGTCTGCATCGCGGTGCACCAAAGAAACAATTAATTTTGACACCCCTACTAGTTTAGAACATCACATGAAACTATATATTTTAAAGTGTTATTTATTGCTGCTCAGTAACCAATTAAAACAGCACAAAATAATAATAAAAAAGAAACAAGAGTCCATTTCTCTCTTTGCACTTAAAAATAAGTTAAACATTAATGAATAAATAAATGAATGAATAAATAAATAGATAAATAAATAAAAATAAGAACAAATAATAAAAATAAGAATAAATAAATAAAAATAATAAGAATAATAAAATAGTATTTGGCTAATGTAAATCTAAGCTACATATTAGCGAAGTATTTCCCTTTTAAATAGAACAAATCTAGTCAAAGGCTGCTGAATCTGTCTGAAAGGCACTTGTGATCAACTATATTATGAACTTGTTTGGTATTTTTATTTTGTATGTTTTTTTCTCTTTGGGATAGAGGAGCATAAAGTATGAAATTTATCAGTCCAGTTCTTTCAACTAGGTACACCTGGAAAGAGTGAGTCCCCTGTTGCTTGTGCACCATGTGCACATCACTGCCACATGCACGAGCAAGCCGCGCACTTCCATTGGAAATAATGAACTTGCACGTACAACAGCCCTTTTTAATAGCCTCAGCCATAGTTAAAATCAGCCTTTAATCCAGTGTGGGTGCATATTAATCTTGCCCACAAGCTCTGAACTTTAAACTAGCACACTGTTGGCATACCTTTGTTTAGTTGTAGTAGTTTTGTTGAGTGCAGAAACGCGGTGTTGAGAAGTCTTTACGGTTAATTAACCGTGATAAGTTAAACCACGGTTAATAGTGAAATCGGTTAATCGTTGCATTCCTAGTCACCAAAACACAACAATTAGGATCAAAGCCTAAAAGGGTCAGTTTCAGAGAGTTAGAGAACATTATCTGTGCAGTAATTTAAACTATATCTTTTTTTTTTTTTTTTTTTACAAAGGGGCATAATTTAAAGTATGCATAAAGAGAATTCTAAGGACTTTACTGAACTGAAAGTTACACCTTACAAGACCTTACAAAGTATGTAGGGTTTATTTGCACATGCTTCACAGTAGTTAAGTCAAGGTATACCGCGGTTTGGGAAAGTCAAGGTTTTAAAAGCACCAGTTTTCTGTTATACCGTTCCTAATTATTATTATTATTATTTATTTATTTATTTTTTGCATGTTCTTCACAACTATTTAATTTTGTTTTTAGGGCAACAGTACATCCAGCAGAAAAGGAACCTCCACATCAAAAGCTATTGATCCAAAACATTTTAAATGTTTTTATAATAAATTCTATAGTGTTCAATGTTGGAAAAGTTGTTGTTTTACTCAGACATTTAAGGGTGCTTTCTCACCTAGACTTTTGTTTCAGAACCTAGCGGCTTTCTCCAGTTAGTGCGGTTCATTTGTCATATTGTATGTGAATCCAGCAATCGCGTTCGGACCCACGCAAAAACAATTAGTGCGATATCGCCTGAATGAAGTGGTCTCAGCTCGATTGAAACGAGTGTGTGAAAGAACTCAAATGTGAAAGCATGCTGAAAATATTACAGATACCGAGTGCTGTTTATAATTTAAGAAAATTGACCGAACTGCAGTCTTAGTTTATCTGTTATTTCTCTCTATATAATGTTAAGCCTATAATACAGAATTCTAGCCAAGACTATGTATGAGAAAGTTTTACCTCTGATTAGTTTTCGGTGACGATGTCTGTGGGTGTCACCATTCAAATTTAAAGTACAGCTTTTCACTTATATATTGTCGTATTGTACGGAAGCGTAGAGCTGCCACCCAGGTAAAAAAAAAATCTGAGCTTTATCCCGTTTGTACAATATACTTTTCACGTTCTTACAATATAATATCACGTTCTTACAATATAATATCACGTTCTTACAATATAATATCACGTTCTTACAATATAATATCACGTTCTTACAATATAATATCACGTTCTTACAATATAATATCACGTTCTTACAATATAATATCACGTTCTTACAATATAATATCACGTTCTTACAATATAATATCACGTTCTTACAATATAATTAACACGTTATTTGCCGCCATACGTGCGCACAGATGATGATGTGCGCGCGGGGGACTTTTTTTCTCGCGCTGGATCAGTTGAGCGCGCGCGTGAAGATCCCCTGTGCGCTCGCGAGCTGTAGTTTTCTCGCGTGTAGACCTGTAATCTGCTCACGGTTCACTTCTCCTTGCGTGCAAACATCACCGCTGCGCTCGATTTATATTGGCATTGATTGCCGCTATACCACGTCGACTCCTACGATAAACTGAACCCCTTTGGAATCTGTATAAATGGAGCCATTGATGGGTTTTCGAGAGCTATGATTTGGCTTCATGCCTTTTCAACAAACAGTGATTCCAAAATCATTGCTGGTTATTTCATAGCAAAAGTTGAAAAGAGGCTTGGGACACCTTCCCGGATTCTCTCCGATCTGGGAACAGAAAATGTCACAATGGCAGACATGCAAAGATTCTTGCGATGGAGTATGGATCATAACGTCACTAACTGTTTTATTACTGGGTCTAGTAATCACAATCAGTAGCTTCAAAATTTCCCCATATCTCAATCCAAGCATAAAATAGAACTTAATTCTGTAAAACGAGACATTTTCTCACGCTCTGATTGCACCAGGTAAACGTAGCCTAAGCAATAAAGTTTTCACGTAATAACATGATAATTATATTGTACAAACATGATATTATATTGTAATAACGTGAAAAGTATATTGTAAGAACGTGATATTATATTGTAAGAACGTGAAAAGTATATTGTAAGAACGTGATATTATATTGTAAGAACGTGAAAAGTATATTGTAAGAACGTGATATTATATTGTAAGAACGTGAAAAGTATATTGTAAGAACGTGATATTATATTGTAAGAACGTGAAAAGTATATTGTAAGAACGTGATATTATATTGTAAGAACGTGAAAAGTATATTGTAAGAACGTGACATTATATTGTAAGAACGTGAAAAGTATATTGTACAAACGTGATATTATATTGTAATAACGTGATATTATATTGTAAAAACGTGAAAATTATATTGTACAAACGTGATAAAGCTCAGATTTTTTTTACCTGGGTCGCAGCTCTACGCTTCCGTAGTATTGCTCATTGTCATAAATAAAAATAAGGACGCATGACCGCTGAGCGGGACTCTGCAAATTAAACCCTGAAACTGACCAATGTGAGGAGAATTTACTTGCACGGAACTTGTTTTAGCTATTTTGGTCCGTTAAGAAACTGCCGTGTGAAAGCGATCCACACCAAGAACAAAGAGCAACATTGTAACAATTTTAATCCCTGTTTTGAAACAAAACAATGGATCTACAGGTGTGAGAGCACCCTAAAAAGAACTTATTTTGGAGCAGTAATCACAATACCGTGAAACTGTGATATTTTTATCCAAGGTTATCATACTGTCAGAATCTTATACCGGCCCATGCCTATACTATTGCTGAATAATGTGTGCTTTTAACATTTGTAGAAGACTTTAAGGAAGTGCACTTCACTTAAAGAATTATTCACTATAGTTCTGCTAGAAAAATACATTTAGAATTATAAAATGCATTAAAGTAAACATTTTTATGTAAATATCTTGTTTATTTGAATGGCATTTATACTATTTGTAATATTCTCAATTGTTTTTGCCACATAGATTGAAGCTAAATAAAAGATACATTATGATCATTATTATTGCAGCTTTTTAGTGTAAATCATAAGAAATGAATAGTAATTGTGTAATATTGTATTACATTTCAGCTGATGTCGAGATGTAATCTCAGACTGCTGTTATATTTAGTTTGTTTCAGTGCCAACAAAGCAGAAAGATGATGTTGTTCAGTGTAGTATTGTAATTATCGGTTAACCGTTAATTGTGACTTAATGAATGTGGTTTTCTCCTCCAGGTCATGGGCCGGTCATGGCTATATTTGAGCTGCTGGATTATATAGTCAATGAGGTGAGACTCTTGTTTTCACTGTTATTTAAGTTTCAGAGTAAATAAATTTGAATAAAGATACTTGACATTTGTGTGAAATCTAACAGATTCAGAATAGTATTAATTTAGACGCATAAATATATCCAGGAACAGGATGTCCGCAGGGTTTAGATGAGTGTAATGCTGTTTTACAAGGTATTAAATTTAGTATAATCTCTTTCTTATTCTTTATTTATTTTTTATTTTTTGCAGAACAATACAAAACACTGGAATTAAACAGGAAAAAAGCCATAATGTGCAGAATGAGACAACCTAAATAATAATAAAATGATTAATAATAATTATAACTAGACAATAACAAAACACTTGCATTACAACAAATGCTAACCTACAGGTAAAAGTGAATAATGAATACACACAAATAAAATTACAAAGTCACATACGCACACACCAATACAATAAAATGAAATCATCCATACAGTAGAGATATTACAAAGTTACAGAACAACATTAAAGGGATTTCTTATGCATCTCTTATAACCTGTTAAAGAGGAAAAAGTTTTTGTTGCATGGGATAAATCGTTATATAATAGGGTGCCCACAGTCTCTTAAAATATATTAAGTTGATAAATCAATTATGAGAAAATTAAGTCCTTTAAAGGGTATTAAAATGCCTTAATCATGTTTTTTCGATGTCTTAAATTTTCTTCAAGTGTTGTTCAGAGTGTTTGACTCCAATAAAACATAAATATATTTATTGTCCTCCTAATATTAACAACGGCACACTCGATCCATATATTACAATATATGTACATATATTCAATATATTGTAACACATACACTTGTAATCATGTTTATCTATCTGCACACTACTGATTATTAATAGCAACCTGCACATATATTCATATATTGTAAATCTGCTCATAGCTTATCCAACCTGTAAATAATGTTGATAGTACATCCATCTGTAAATATCACCATAGTTTTCTATAACTGCACTTAACTTATTCCTGTATCCTGCACTTGCTGCTATTGCACTGCTGGTTAGACCTAAACTGCATTTCGTTGCATTGTACTTGTACATGTGTAATGACAATAAAGTTGAATCTAATCTAATCTAATCTAATCCACGTGTTTGGATGGGCCAGGGCGCATACAGCCAAACTCCTCCATACGGGTGATGTCACATAATTTGCGACAAACGCAAGAAGGTGATGTGACGCTCTCTACATGTAGAGAAACCAAAGAGCAAAACAGACAGCAAAATGGGAAAGTGTAAGTTTGTGTACTCCTGGTTGGAGAAAGACGAGTTTAAACAGTGGCTGAAGCCTGTCGCTGAAAACAACTGCGTAATTTATTCTTTCAAGCTTTGTTTCTTCCGAGCTTATCCGAGGGCTCCATGCATTTATTTAACTACAACTGTTTATTAACAACTATTAGTTAAAGGTTTACTACTGATTAGAACTTGGAGTGGCGATGAGGTCTTAAAATATTCTGAGAAGGTCTTTAAAAAGCCTTAAAAAGGTATTGAAATTACTTTTAGGATTCCTGCATATACCCTGTATATTTTTTTTAAATAATTATATTTATGGGGTTTGTCACCTTTAATTGATAGGACAGTAGAGATTGTTGACAGAAAAACATGGGGAGCAGTGAGAGGGGAAGGATTGGAATAGGACTTTGAGGCAGGACTTGAACTAGGGTCGCCGTGAGCATCAGAGTGCATATGTCGACACTAACAACTACGCCATTGGCGCTGTCGATCATTGTATAATTCAATCTAATTGAGCATTGCGCTCTACTTGTATGAACTGGGAATTTGAGCACTGATGAGTGAAATAGCAATGAACCTGTGAATTGAACTGTGGAATATCTTCTGCATTGTTCTAGCATGTTACCTTCATTTGAATAATTCTTGTACATGAAAACGTTAATATCATAGATCGAATAAAGATGGAGCTTCTGAAATAAAATTCTGATCATACAGTGTTACTTGTATGCTCTGAATTTAATCTGCAGATATCGAGATGCTGTGTGGAGTTTATGAAATCGATAAAATCCTGCTATATTTGACATCATGCTGCTTTGTTTACTGCAGTAATAAAGGCAAAACTGTTGTTCCTGCTGTTACTGGCGCCCCCTGCTGGATCAACATTTGTATTCAGTATGTGATTAATGTTTTAGTTTAGGATTAGTTTCTTACAATCAGTATTTAGTAAATATACTATACGTTAAAATCATAGACTGTAAAAAATACTGTAAAATCTTTAGAATTGCACTCACCTGGGAAATGGAGGCCACGTGAATGGTTTGTGAGCACAATTAAGAGCACACAGCATGCCATATCATCTGATAATTCATTCATTTTCTTGTTGGCTTAGTTCCTTTATTAATCCGGGGTCGCCACAGCGGAATGAACTACCAACTTATCCAGCAAGTTTTTACGCAGCGGATGCCCTTCCAGCTGCAACCCATCTCTGGGAAACATCCACACAAACATTCACACACACACTCATACACTACGGACAATTTAGCCTGCCCAATTCACCTGTACCGCATGTGTTTGGACTGTGGGGGAAAACGAAGCACCCGGAGGAAACCCATGCGAAGGCAGGGAGAACATGCAAACTCCACACAGAAACGCCAACTGAGCCGAGGTTCGAACCAGCAACCTTCTTACTGTGAGGCGACAGCACTACCTACTGCGCCACTGCCTTGCCTTCATCTGATAATTGTAGGAAATAATTCCAAAGGACACTTAACAGTGTAAAGACACATAAAACAAAAACAATGTATAAGTTCAGCAGCTAATCAGCCGGAATCAGCTGAGGTGAAGTCACAGCGATCAGCGAGACCTAGCTGTCACTCAAGTGGCCACGCCCTTAATTATGCAGACTTAATATAACCTAATATAAAGAAAACGGATGAGTTATAAAAAGTTCATCCCCCTCACAGTAGTCAAAAAGGGTAATATTAGCTATATGCACCAAAATCGTTCTTTGTTCCAGGCTGTAAACACTTTTTTCTGCTGTAAAGTTGGCCAATTTAACAGTGGGCTCAATAGAAATCTGCTCTACTATGGAGCCAGGACTAACGCAATTTCCATGAATTGCAGTTTCAGTTACTTCCGTTTAAGCTTCACGAGGGAAAGCGGGATGTTGCTGCTTGGTTAAAATGTCTTCAATGTTAACAGTTGAATTTCAAAATGGCAATAAGTTTTTAAAATGTATGGAAAGAGTCTTAAAAGGTATAGATTTTCCCTCTCTGATTCCTGTATGTACTCTGTTATGATGTATGAGTGTAAATAAAGATTTTTATTATGCACTTCTTCTCCATCAGCCTCCTCCTAAACTGCCTCACGGCGTCTTCACTCCTGATTTCCAGGACTTTGTGACCAACTGGTGAGTTACACAGTGCATGTTCTGTGTTTATATAGAGTTGAAGTCAGAATAATTACCCCCCCCTGTTTATTTTTTATTAAAAATAAACAAGGCGGGCTAATACAATTTCTGTTTAAGAGAAGATTTTTTCAGCACATTTCTGCACATAACAGTGTTAATAACTCATCTCTAATAGCTGATTTATTTTCTCTTTGCCATGATGACAGTAAATTATATTAGACTAGATATTTTTCAAGACACTTCTATACAGCTTAAAGTGACATTTAGGGCGTACTCACACTATGCCATCGGTACCATGCCCAGGCCCGTTTCCTGGATCGTTTGAGAAGTGTGAGTGCGCTGAATTGGGCTCAAGCACGGTTCACTTGGCCGGCCCTGGCCCGGTTGGAAGAGGTGTGCCTGACCGCGGTTCACTTGGGCTTTGGCGCGGTACGCTTGTAGTGTGAGTGCAAAACACTCCAAAGCCCAAAACTGAAAGCGAGACGTGACTTTAAGGGACTGTTTCATATGGATTTATTAATCATTCTTACTGTTCAGTGAACGCAAACTGCCGTAGATTATTAAAGACACAAACCCCTCACTGCACCACAGCTGCACCTTCAGCAGACCTCCTAACTCCTCCAGCACGAGGGCTTTATGACTGTTTATGAGCGCCAAAAGTGGCGGATCTGTTCGGCGAAATCTGAAATCTGACTGCGTGTCACCGCATCCCAAAGGACTGTTTGGTGAAATATTTGACTGCATGTCACTGCATATCAAACAACTGAAACGATATAACTAGAGAAATCTCCACTGTGCTGCTGAGTGAGAGAGCGCTTCTCACTGAACAGCGCAGCAGTGATGACGTAAGCGTGCCGAGGCCCGATTGTGGTGTGAGTGCGGGCCGTCGGGGGAGACGGGAGGGGGGACAAGCGTGCTTTGGCCCAGTTCGAGGCAACTGTACCTAGTATGAGTACAGCCTTAAAGGCCTCACTAGGGTAATTAGGTTAATAGGCAGGTTAGGGTAATTAGGCAAGTTACTGTATTACGAGAGTTTGACAGTCGGAAAAAAATATAGCTTAAAGGGGCTAATAATATTGACCTTAAAATGGTGTTTAAAAAATTAAAAACTGCTTTTATTCTAGTCGAAATAAAACAAATAAGACTTTCTCCAGAAGAAAAAATATTATCAGAAACACTGTAAAAATGTCATTGCTCTGTTAAACATCATTTGGGAAATATTTAAAAAGGAAAAAAAAAATTAGGGGCTAATAATTCTGACTTCCACTGTATGTAATGAAATTGTGTGTACTTAATAAATTTTATTTTTACTTTTCTTATTTTTTTCTTTTTAGTCTTATTAAAAACCCTGCAGACAGAGCGGACCTGAAGATGCTGATGGTAGATTGTTTTCATGCATTTTCTATTTTTATGTTGGCAATTTTTTTTATTATTGTTATTGGATTATTTTAAAGAACATCTTATAATTTAAGGTTTTGTTGAACCCAAATCATTTTGAATAATACAGTCATAATATTTTACTATATTATTATAACTAAAAAGGCTGGTTCGAGCCTCAGCTGGGTCAGTTGCTATTTCTGTGTGGAGTTTGCATGTTCACACTGTTTGTGTGGGTAAAACTTATGTCGGTTCATTCCTCTGTGGCGACCCCTAATTAATAATGAGACTATGCCGAAAAGAAAACGAATAAATGATTATAACTAAAAAGGTTTTTTATTTCATATCAGCAACTTCTCATTGAGTGAACATAGGGGAGGAAATCACTTTGATTGTTATCTTGTTTATTAATTTACATTAATTGCACACACAAGTGTGTGTGTGTGTGTGTGTGTGTGTGTGTGTGTGTGTGTGTGTGTGTGTGTGTGTGTGTGTGTGTGTGTGTACATACAGTGCTCTGTATAAATGAGCACACCCACTTTTAAAAAATGATAATTTCTCTGTAAAAATGGCAAATAATTTTTGATGCATTTAAAGTTTGGTCGCCTAACATCCTTAAGAATTTAAAAAAATGCATTTAAACTAAAGCAAGGTATTGAAAACTACAAATCTTTAACTAAATTTGATATGTTTTATTTGTCCTGTTCATTAAAATATAATTCAACACGTTTCCCTAACATATAAATTTAGGTGTACTAATTTTTTATAATGTATATGTACAAAATACTACAGTAAAGCATCCTGGAGAAAATATTAATTTAATAGAGAGACCTGTGAGACGTGAACTCCTTTATGCTGAGCACTGTGTGTATGTGTATATGTGTGTGGTCTGTTTTTTTTAGCAACCGTGAGTTATACATTAAAATGAGCTCAGTTAAATTCTATTTCATTCTATTCTTTTTTGGGACCCTAATGTAACTTAATGCATCATTTTATATATTCATTTATATATATTTGTAATTAAAGACAGTACACACCTGTGTCCCAAATCATAAGCCAGAGATTAGTCCCAGTGTTATAAGCTATAAGACGCCAATTATTAGTTAATATGTCAGTTTATGGGCATTAGAGCATCATATTTATGCGTGTATTAATGACATCATGACTTACACATTTCTGTTCTGTTTTTTATTTACAGAATCACACATTTATCAAACGCGCCGAAGTGGAGGAGATGGACTTTGCTGGATGGTTGTGTAAAACAATGGGTCTCAATCAGCCCAGCACACCCACACAAACAACTGAATGACACACACACACACACACACACACACACATATATATATATATATATATATATATATATATATATATATATATATATATATATATATATATATATATGAACATTTGAATGACACATACATATGAACAGCTGAATGACACACACACATACATATGACCAACTGAACGACTAACACACACACACACACACACACACACACACCTGAGCGTCACGTTTCCCCTGCAGAACACAAATGTTTACAGCTGATCTGATGGAGCACATGCAGAGCTGCTTATTTTACACTTCTGCCACTCCACACACACACACACACACATGGGTGAATATCATGAAATGCACTCATATGTCATGAGTGTGTTTTCTATCATGATGCTTTAGGATATTTGTCTCATTGTAATGAGGAGAAACAATCAATTAGTCATTGTTGTACTGCTTTAATTAATAATTGTCATTTTTATAGTCTTATTTTAGTACCACAATTACAGTAATATTTGTACTGTGATGCATAAAACTAGCGCTGCAAAAAATGTACCGAGACAAATGAATCAATAAAGTGTAAAAGAATTGGGCTCATCAAAGTGTAGTTATGCAAACACACCCTGCTCCTAAAATGGACTTGCTTTATGAAGCTAATTATCCTTCATTTTCTCTCATGAGCTTCAGTTATGCATTAATAACTGCAGAAATATATCAGATTCACCCATGTGCACATCCAGACACACTTCAGTTCTTCATTTGGAAATAAAAAGTGCATTTCTGACTCGGTGTTTCCAGTATAAACATCTAAACTTTATTAAGTCAACAAGCATTTATGTGAGAAGCAAAATGAGTGACGATGATTAAAAAAGAAGACAAATTAAGTGATTTTTATGCTTTAAATGAGAAATAAATCTGTCAGTGGTGTCAAAAATATCAGAGTTTCTTTTTCTCAGAGCACATTAAATAGAAACACTATGAGACAAAAGTCATGTCGCCTGTCCAGGTTTTAGGAACAGCAAATAATATCTTGACTTCTAGTTGATCATTTGGTGTCAGAAGTGTCTTATATGAAAGGCAAAAGCTTATTTGTCCACAATATAATATGATCATGCCTTGATTTTGAGTGATTTCATTAGGACAGTAAGGTCTGACTCTGCTTAGACCTGGGGTGTCAAACTCATTTTAGCTCATGGGCCACATGGAGGAAAATCTATACCCAAGTGAGCCGGACCGGTGAAATCATAGTATACAGTTGAAGTCAGAATTATTCGCCCCCTTTTGATTTTATTTTATTTTTTTAAATATTTCCCAAATGATTTTTAACACAGCAAGGAAATTTTCACAGGATGTCTGATAATATTTTTTCTTCTGGTGAAAGTCTTATTTGTTGTATTTCGGCTAGAATAAAAGCAGTTATTATTATTTTTTTTTTTTTTTTTGGGACAATATTATTAGCCCCTTTTAGCTATTTTTTTTTTCGATAGTCGACAGAACAATCCATCGTTATACAATAGCTTGCCTAATTATCCTAACCTGCCTAGTTACCCTAACTAACCAAGTTAATCCTTTAAATGTCACTTTAAGAAGTGTCTTAAAGTATATCTAGTCTAATATTATTTACTGTCATCATGGCAAAGAGAAAATAAATCTGTTATTAGAAATAAGTTTTTAAAACTATTATGATTAGAAATGTGCTGAAACAAACTTCCCTTCATTAAACAGAAATTGTTGAAAAAAATAAACGGGCGCAAATAACTCAGGGGGCTAATAATTCTGACTTCAACTGTAAATAACTTAAAAACAACAACTTTAGATTGTTTTCTTTGTTTTAATGTGATCAACCTAAGGACAACACGATCTCATGGCAGTTTGTAACTTTTTGATTTAGTGGCTGATTCATATTTACATTCAGTCATTTAGTCCTTTAGCAGACGCTTTTATCCAGAGCGACTTACAAATGAGGACAAGGAAGCAATTTACACAACTATAAGAGCAACAATGAATAAGTGCTGTAGGCAAGTTTCAGGTGTGTAAAGTGTAAGCAAAACATTAGTAATGTAAGAGTTTTTTTTTTTGGAAATACAGTTAGCGGTGGAGCCAGAGAGGGAATTGCAGATTAGGAAGGGAAGTGGAGACTAAATAGTTGAGTTTTTAGTGGTTTCTTGAAGACAGCGAGTGACTCTGCTGTTCTGATGCAGTTAGGGAGTTCATTCCACCAACTGGGCAGATTGAACGCGAGAGTTCGGGAAAGTGATTTCTTCCCTCTTTGGGATGGAACCACGAGGCGACGTTCATTCACAGAACGCAAGTTTCTGGAGGGCACATACATCTGCAGAAGTGAGAGCAGATAAGAAGGAGCAAAGCCAGAAGTCGCTTTGTAAGCAAACATCAGAGCTTTGAATTTGATGCGAGCAGCAACTGGCAGCCAGTGCAAACGGATGAGCAGCGAAGTGACATGTGCTCTTTTAGGTTCATTAAAGACCACTCGTGCTGCTGCGTTCTGAAGCAGCTGAAGAGGCTTGATAGAGTTAGCTGGAAGCCCGGCTAGTAGAGAGTTGCAATAGTCCAGTCTGGAGAGAACAAGAGCTTGAACAAGGAGCTGAGCTGCATGTTCAGATAAGAAGGGTCGGACCTTTCTGATGTTATAGAGTGCGAATCTGCATGATCAAGCAGTTCTAGAGATGTGGTCAGAGAAGTTTAGTTAGTCATCAATTGTTACTCCAAGGCTTTTCACCATTTTGGATGCAGTAATGGTTGCCGCGTCCATCTGGATTGAAAAGTTATGGTGTAGAGTCGGGTTGGCAGAAACTACAAGCATTTCCGTTTTCGCGAGCTGAAGATGATGATCTTTCATCATGTGTGAAATGTCCGACAGGCAGGCTGGGATGCGAGCTGTAACCGAGGGATCATCAGGGTGAAAAGAGAGGTATAGCTGGGTATCATCAGCATAGAATTATCATATGAATTCATAAACTATGTAATTCGTATAATTAAGTACTGTTTGCTTATCCACGAATGACGGTTGGGTTTAGGAGTGTGGTTGAGTGCCGCGCCTTCTTTTTGTATTGTGCATTTTCATATGACTTAACTCGTAAGAATTATCCACTAAACTGACCAAACAAGAAATAGTTACGTTTCCAAATATAGTCAGTGAGAACACCTCAGTGTGGATTGACGGCATAGATGTAATCTGAGACGGCTGTCAAACTGATGCTGATTTACGCTTCTGGATTGTAAGAAATTAGCAGTTTGCAATTGCGCCATCGAGTGGACAGAATTGGAACAGCAGTTTCTTTTATTGAAATATCGCAGCTCATTTTTATACTTTACAGAATCATCTCGTGGGCTGGATTAAACCCATTAAGTTTGACACCCCTAGCTTAGAAAAAGTCTCATCGCTGAACAGAAATAATGTCCAGTATAGAAGATAAAGTCCTGCTGCAGTGGAGACCGAATGAATATCGTGTCTGACTCCATCATGAGCTTGGAGGACTGCATCCATACATCTCTGACATGACTCAAATCACTGATTAATAAAGTCATCTGGAATAAAGAAGAAAGCGTTCAGCAGGACTCCCAGAGTTCATCAAGAGTATCTGTGTTCATCTTCAATGCCTCTTTCTTCATGCTTAATAATGTTTATGTCTGGTGACTGGGCTGGCCAATCCTGGAGCAGCTTGACCTTCTCTGCTTGGCTGAAGTATGAGAAGGAGCGCTATCCTGCTGGAGAATTGTCCCTCTCCTGTGGTTTGTAATGTAATGGGCAGCACAAATGTCTTGATACCTCAGGCTGTCGATGTTGATCATCCACTCTGCAGATCTCTCCATACTGAATGAAACACCAAACCATGATTTCTTCTTCACCAAACTTGACTGATTTTTATGAGAATCTTGGCTCCATGCTGGTTCCAGTAGGTCTTCTGCAGTATCGGTTCTGATTGGGATGTAGATCAACAGATGGTTCATGGGAAAAATCCCCCTTCTGACACTTTTCCTGATGATCAACTAGAAGTCAAGTTATGCGTTGCTCTTACAGCTGGGGTCCACCACAAGACTTTTGTCAGGCAGTGGACATTTGCACTCGCTTTCAGCATACATTTGCTTAATTTTGATTCGGTCATTGTTGGTTGTCAAATAAATGTAGCTTGACTTCATAAAGTTTAGATTTTCATAATGGAAAATGCAAGAATTCTTAAGAAGAAAACTTGTGTGTGCACTTTAATGTGTAATGGAGCTATTCTACTTATCAGGAAATCAACACCATCACTGTTTGGATTATTTCTGTATGTTCACAAACGTGGCCTGCAGACAGATGTTGCTTTATGACTCAATAAAGTGATTGTAGAGGGGTGAACCGCTTCTGCTGACTGCTTTTTCTGTCCTTTTTCCATTATTTTCAGATAAACGCACATAGTTTATTATAGAAAATAGTTCTGGCAGGTTCTGAGCATGCTCTAGCTTTATATCACTACTGTATGTTGAATGATTTATTTGGATGTGGAGATTAATCACATCCAAAATAAAAGTTTGTTTTAAGAATGCATATGTGTGTGCAGTATAAATATCTATTCTATATCTAAATATAAACATTTTCTCAGATATATGCATGCATGTGTCTATTTATAAATGCATGATAAATGTACACACACACACACACACACACGTCAAAACAAACTTTTATTTTGGATGTGATTAATCATGATTTGATGTCAGAGGAGAATGGCCAGACTGGTTCCAGCTGATAGAAAGGCAACAGTAACTCAAATAAGCACTCGTTACAACCGAGCTCTGCAGAAGAGCATCTCTGAACACACAACACGTCCAACCTTGAGGCGGATGGGCTACAGCAGCAGAAGAGCACACCGGGTGCCGTTCCTGTCTGCTAAGAACATAATATTTATATATTATCATTATTTATATTCATATTTTGTCTATTTTTTTTTTTACATTAAAACTTTTTTTCTAACCAATAAAATGCTCTCTAGTGTCTGACATGCCCCACCCCCTTCAAGAAGCTTCTCACTGTTTGTTGCTAGAAGGGATACAGCCATGGGGGCCGGGGCTAAAAATAGTTTGACCGCATCTGATTGTCCAAATTCAGATAAATAATCATTACGTAAGATAAATGTGAAATTGTCAAACAATTTGCAATATGTACTGCAGCCCTGTCCAGAATCCTGCATGTAAGTAGTTTTATTCATTTGTTCATCTCAGAAGTTATGAGCATGTCTACACAGTATTTGTTTTCACATCTTTTATAGGAAGAGATGAATATTTTCCTGATCATCATCAGATCTTCTGAGGGTAAGAGTGAAAGATTCATATCACTTTCATCATCAGCAACCTCAGAATTAGTATTATTAGTAGTAGAAGTAGTAGTATTGGTAGTATTTTATTAGTATTAGTAGGAGTAGTATTAGTATTAATAGCAGTATTAGTAGTGGTAGGAGGATTAGTAGTATTAATATTAGTAGTAGTAGTATTATTAGTAGGATGAGTAGTATTATTATTAGTAGTAGTAGTATTAGTAGCAGTATTAACAGTAGTAGTAGAAGTATTAGTAGAAGTAGGAGAAGGAGTAGTTGTATTATTAGTAGTAGTAGGAGGATGAGTATTAGTATTATTAGGAGGAGGAGTAGTATTACTATTATTAGTAGAAGTAGCAGTATTAATAGTAGTATTAGTATTATTAGGAGGAGGAGAAATATTATTATTAGTAGGAGTAGTATTACTAATATTAGTAGTAGAAGTAGAAGTATTAGTAGCAGTATTAATAGTAGTAGTATTAGTATTATTAGTAGGAAGAGGAGAAGTAGTATTATTATTAGAAGTAGTATTATTAGTAGTAGAAGGATTATTAGTATTAATATTAGTAGAGGTGGTAGTATTAGTAGCAGTATTAACAGTAGTATTAGTAGTAGGAGAAGTAGTAT